AATCCATATTTTTAATAAGGAATCTAATGAGTTTTTCCTTGAGCTCGGGAGTTAACCCCGTGCCAAGGTATACCTTTCGATCGGGCAGATGCTTGATCAGTATGATTTGCTCCAGCACTTCGACTGTCGACTTTGTGGCGTCGGAATCATCGGGAATTATGAAGGTTCGAGGTATCATACAATCATGATCCTCGATAATTTCCTGCTGTTCCGATCTGGTCGAGGCCGACGACTGTGGTTGCTATTTGACTTCCTGCTTTTCCTTTGGTTCTGGTCCCTTTGTTGATGTTAGTGCCGATACTGGTATTACTTCATCAATTGCAAACATCTCTTTGGCTGCTGGTTGTTCGCTGTACAGCGTTTTGACTCCTTTCGGTGTTGGGAATTTCAAGACTTGATGAAGCGTGGAAAGTACTGCCCTCATATTATGGATTCAAGGTCTTCCGAGCAGCGTATTGTACCTCATATCACCTTCGATCACGTGGAACTTCGTTTCCTGGATAGTTCCAGCCACGTTTACTTGCAACATGATTTCTCCTTTGGTGGTTCACTCGACATGTTGAAACCGTTGAGCACTCGAGCTGCAGGCACGATTTGATCCTGAAGGTCGAGCTGCTCCACGACCCTCGATTGAATAATATTCGCCAAGCTACCTGGATCAACCAACACACGTTTAACTTGAATTTTATTCATAAGGATAGATATTACCAGTGCGTCGTTGTGAGGCTGTTCGATCCCTTCTGCATCCTCACCGTTGAAAGATAAGGTATCTTCTGGTAAGTAGTCCCGGGTACGCTTCTCCCTTGTGATTGTAACTTTGGTGCGTTTAAATGTCGGACCCTGAGGAATATCGACCCCACCAACGGTCATATGAATCACGTGATGCAGTTCCTCCTGTTCGTTTTTCCTGTTTGCATCCCTGTCTCTGAAGTGATTTTTTGCTCGGTCACTCAAGAACTCTCGAAGATGACCTTCGTTGAATAAACGGGCTACCTCCTCCCTTAACTGTCTGCAGTCTTCGTTTCTGTGACCACGGGTTCCATGGTACTTGCACATTTGATTTGGATTCCTTTGAGCTGGATCGGTCTGTAGGGGTCTGGGGCACCTAGTATCCTTGATTCGTCCAATGGCTTACACAATATCTGAAGCATCGGCGCTGAAGTTGTATTCCGATAACCGTGTTGCTTCCTTAGGCTCGACATGTTTATCGAAGCCACTCTTACTCATGAGCCCTCGAGAATTTTGACCTCGATCATTCCTTCGATCATTTCGAATGGGATTACGTCCCGGTCCGTTATTTCTACGATATGCGCTATATGGTTGGTACTGATCTCTGTTCGATCGGGGCTCTCTGTCGATGTCTCTTTGAATCCTGCCTTCGGATCTATTTGGGTAAACGGAACCGGACGATGCTCTCAACTGATCATCCTCGACTCTGATCTTCGATTGGTATCGATCATGCACATCGGCCCAGGTCACCGCTGGATATTCAATCAAATTCTGCTTTAGTTGACGTGACGCTACCGAACTTCGCTCGTTCAAACCTTGAATAAAGGTTTGGACAGCCCAATCATCGGTAACCGGGGGTAGGTCCATGCGCTCCATCTGAAATCGAGATACGAATTCCCTTAGCATTTCATTATCCTTTTGTCTCACTTTGAAGAGGTCCCACTTCCTAGTTGCGACCTTTATTACTCCGGCGTGTGCCTTTACGAACGAATCGGCGAGCATGGCGAAAGAATCGATGGAATTGGGCGGCAAATTGTGGTACCATATCGTTTCCCCCTTCGATAATGTTTCTCCAAATTTTTTCAGTAGAACATATTCAAGTTCATCATCTTCTAAGTCATTTCCTTTTATTGCGCATGTATAAGAAGTGACATGCTTGTTAGGAACAGTGGTTCCATTGTACTTGGGAATTTCTGGCATGCGGAATTTCTCCGGAATGGGCTTTGGAGCCGCACTTGGTGGGAAAGGCTTCTATACGAACTTTCTCGAATCCAAACCTTTCAAAATCGGGGGTGCCCCCGATATTTTATCAACCCGGGAGTGTACGTTTCCACCTTTTTATCATTATCCTTGATCTTCTTTTCTCCTGATTCAATCCGTTTAGTGAGCTCCTCGAGCATCTTCATGATGGCGGGATCAGTTCCCGATCCGTAATCGTTCAATTTCTCCTGTACGGGTTCGATCCAATGAGCAACTTCCTGTGATGTATCGAGTTCGATTCTGCTTGGGGCTCGATTATGATTTTGGAGTTGCACTATCGCGGCCTGCTGAGTTTGTAGCATGTCAAATATCATTCGAAGGCTAATTCTGCCTTCTTCACCATTTTGTGCGTTCTGATCGGCTGCCCGGGCGTCTCTGTGGACGCTATTTTTAGGGTCGGCGCCTAAATCTCCACGAATAGTGATATGAGAACTGACATCAACCAGATCTACGGCCGGTGCGTCGGGATTGATTGGAGGCACTTCGTTTCCCGAGGCGACTATGTGTTCGTTTTCGCCATAAAGACCAAGGCCGGTATCAGTGTGAGTGGGTACTGCTTGTGAGTTTGACATATTGATTCCTCAAATCAAAAATACTCACGAGAACAAGCTTAAAAGCAGTGTGTGTTATGAAGGTTAAAATATTAAGCAATCACTATTATCCTTAGCCCCACGGTGGGCGCCAAACTGTTTACCCTAAAAATTGAGTAAATTAAACTTATAATGTGGTTTTAAGGATACGTGATTTCACCTAATATCAATTGATAAACGTAAAGATAAGTGATGCAAATTGACAATAATACAAAGCAAACTAGCGTTTGGTCAATGCCCTCGAGCTTATGAACCCTCGAGCTTGGTAGACCAAAAACAATTAAAGAGCTTGATAAACAAAAGAACGTGAGTTAAAGAGAGAATATTATATTGCTTTGATCTGTATGAATGTAAGGTCATTTACAAATGATGGGGACTCCCCTTTATATACTAAAGGGATCCTAATTACGGTACAACTCTAGTTACGGAAGTAAATCCCATGATTGGTACAAATAACCGCCCTTAATTCGATCTGTTCCGTGATTTCCGCCGTGATCTTCGATCGGTTACGGATATCTCGCCTTTCTGTTATTGCACTCCATTCGAAATCGGTCATACTTAGTTTCGATTGCTGGTGGCCTTGGTTTCTACGGACATCTCGATTCCTGAACTTGACACCTCGTTTTCGTGCTATAGCCCGATCCATTGCGAGGCTGACCCTCGACGTGATCTCTTGGTCTCGATTAAATAGCAAAATCGGACAAGCCCGATTTTAACAGTATACATTTTGAGAATTCAAAACTCTGGTAATTGGGTTAATAATTATTCTTTCCCTAATCAGCAACAACATGCCACTTTATATGCTTCCATTACCATACTTATTTGTATTAACAAGAAATACGAACGCTCGGTCATTTGTTAGTGTAGACACAAGTGGTTGAGTTGCAGTTATCTATAATCTGGGTTTGTCCAATAAATAACCTTCAGCCACGTGCTAAGCACCCTTCCAAGACATCGAACTTCTTGCCTTGATTAACTTAAAAAGCTAGACTACTCCATTGTTTCAGGATGGTACATAAAAAAAAGAACTTAACGTTTCTTAGGCATGCAAGTGGCCAAATTGCCGCGTGATGAGTATCTAGTGGCGGATCCAACATCAAACGTAGGAGTGGCAAGCGGGCAGGTCGGGTTGGATATGGTTCGGATCGAAAACGGGTAATGAGAAAACGGATAAATTATCCGACCTGACCCATATTTAATACGGATAAAAAATGTGTTAACTGACGGAAAATATGGGTACCGATATTATCCATGACTTCTTGCATATGATCACTTTTGGGAGAATTCTTAGTCCACATAACTTGAGAAACCCTCAATTTGAGGATTTACAAATGTAAAAGTTAGACTCATTGGTTACCCATTGGTTATCTATTTTCTAAATGGATAATATGGTTCTTATCCATATTTGACCCGTTTTTAAAAAGTTCATTATCCAACCCATTTTTTAGTGGATAATATGGGTGGTTAACTGTTTTCTTTTAATCATTTTGCCACCCCTAATCAAATGTCATATATGTGCAAAAAATGACTACATATCTCAACTCAGAACTCACACGGAACGTCTCTTTTTGCATATTCAGCAACTAGTCTTCTTAAACTTACTAATTGTTAAACATAAAGTGAAGACATATCCACATGAAAAGGGCTCTCCCGCTATGCGCGGGGTCCGGGGAAGGGCTGGACCACAAGGGTCTATTGTATGCAATCTTGCCCTACATTTTTGCGAGAGGCAGTTTGGTATTTCCACATGAAGTATATCCGCATGAAGGGCCATAATCCCTTTATTTGGTACTCCCAATTGCAAGAGTAAAGATATTCTTAATTCCATCTAACGTGAGAATCTATGAAGGAATATATTGTTCACAAGCATATCGAAACTCCACATGACTTCCTCTAATAGAAATTCTTACTATTTCTATATGTATCAACGAGTGTCACTCAGAAACCATACAGGCACCTTTCTGTTGTGGTAAGTTTCATGCACTTGCAAATGTAACTAAGATCTGATCTTTGTTTTACTGTTTAAATCATTTCACACATGACATGCATATCCTTTCCTTTTCAGTAAACTCAATAAAATCAAAATGTCATATACAGTAAGTAGTACAAGCTTAAGGAAGTGCCCACTCACTTATTTTTTGCTGCATTCACATAGGTAAAAGCTTTGATAAGTAATTGGTGAAAACATTCCACTCATGGCTCAGCAGAGTTCACTGGACTACAATGTGAGTTTCACCAGTGTTTTGTTGTTACTAGTTGAGAATCATATATTTCTGATTGTGTGCTGAATAATTTTTTAATTCTGCTCCCAAACTTTAGAAGGGTAAGTCAAAGAACATACTTACGACAAGACCTAGAAGGAGTTTCGAGAATAATATCATTTGTAACAATCATCAATCATCAGAGATAGCTAGCAATGCAATGCAGTTCTTGAGTCGACCGTGGAGCTCATCTTCTAGTGATTTCCTGCAAATGTTTTCATCAAGTGTAAGATACCTACAAAAATTCAGTCAGAAGCATAAATAGCACCATGCTTTAGTTTATATACATTGCCCATGGTGCCTTGTTGAACATGCATGCATAATGATTTGCTCCTGCAGAATAATCTCTTGTTGAAAGACACAGAGGATTATGATGCAGAAATGCTGGAGAGCTCAACCAACAAACACTACATTAAGGTGATCAATTGGAACTCTCTACACATGCTTACAGCAAACGCCATTTAATGTTTACAGTTGATAAATGTCTATAGTTAACATCTATTTTTGTTATTGATATTATTTCTAATGGCCACCTCATTCTTTTCTTATCATAGTTGGACTTGCATCACATGAAGGGATGGCTAAAAAGCAAATCTCCATTTTGCTTCTTTAGATCATCACATCAAGAAAAGAAAGAGAAACTCCGGTTACAAACTGCAAAATTACATGCTCTACTTTCTCTCACACAGCTTGCTTCAGCAATTTCTGGCTTTGCCAGCAATAGCAGCTCCGGAATTCTAGACTCACAGCAAATTAATTGGAGCCACAATATGGGTAGCGTAGTTGCTTCTGCTGCAGCTCTGATGACAACAGTATGTGCCGAGGCAGCAGAATCTCTGGGAGCAGGAAGAGCTCAGGTTGCATCTGCAGTCAATTCTGGCCTGGCCATCCAAACTCCTATGGATATGATCTCAGTGACAGCAACAGCAGCCACATGTACAGTATTTCTGATTTTCTTATGGTCACATTAGCAATTGTCAATGAACAGCTCATTGCTTGTTACCAGGTTTACGAGGAGCTGCAATTCTTAAATCAAGAGCCTTGGATCATTCCTCTCCTAGGATCCCAGAGATGCTCACTGCAGGCGCGCGAATATGGATAATAATGCCCTCAGGTAAGAATCGTATTTCCTGAAACCTTCAAAACATAGAATCAGGAGATGTTTTTTCACTCCATTTCCTACCTGGCTAAATATGATACTTTGAGTTTCCTGTTATAACACAACAGGACATAAAGAGGACAAATGGGTGACCCTACACCTGAAGCAAAACCAGCTCATACTGAGCCTCAAAAGAAAGTACTTTGGAGCTTTAACAACTTCAAAAGAATGTAAACTACCTATATATTCGGTTTCTTTCATTGTTGCTTCAAAACTTGATGGTTCTCGCCTAGATTTTGCTCCTAAGACTAACAAATTACCCTTATGCAGACAAGCTTATCAACATCATAAGAGAATGTTTTGAGGCTCAAGACGAGTACTTTGTTAGCTTGAAGACGAACAATGGCATCATCAAGCTTGTTTTCAAAGATGAAATGCAATCAAGCATCTGGATATCTACCATTTCCAGTGTCTTAATATCCTCTTGATCAATGTTGTACAAAGCATTTGACAAGTCTAATAACATTTCTTGAACGTCATACATCAAAAGTAGATGTTACAACTTCCCGTCCCACAATGTAATTATATATGTAAAACACAAGTTTTACACAAACCAGCAGTAGAAAAAGGGAATAAAATGCACTGAAGTAGAGAAAGTGACAAATGTTTGGCAAATATCCAGTAGAAAGCATGTTTTGTTTTTCCCTGGGCAATCGTTATGATAAATGTTTCTATGAACAATGAAATGGACCAAAAACCATAAACATGAATATCAGATCAGGCTTATATGACACTTGGAATATGAGATCTCAAGTCAGGCTAATATCATTTAATCAAACTTTACGTAAGCCTCTGACTCCTATTCCAAAAAGGCAATTTTAAATTGTGGGATTAACCATGAAATGCTTGATATACAACACATTGGGACATAGCATATCTATCAAAATTTATAAAGACAACACTATGAAAAATTACCCAGATGACCAGATTATATTATTGCCAATAAGAAACCACGTTGTATATCTGTGTGAACCATTTCATGACTGTCGTTCATCATATAAGAATTTAATTTAATTTTACTTCTTCAACAAATAAAGACACGTTCTTCTTTATTATTCAGGTGGGATGACTCAACGGAGCTTAAATTAGGTACTCCTGTGACAGGCGGTTAGTAATTATATGTAGTTTGGCAGTATAGCAAACTCCTAATATTTTATTATCAGTAAGCATTCGAGCAATTTGAATTATTTTAAGTGAGCTCATATAGAATATCCTTTACAAGATTGATTTATTATATTAACTTTCTCTATAGATAATGTAAAAATTTCCGAAATCATGTTACGTTATTGTAGAGTTCTGATATATTATTTATGGTTTATAAACTATTAAAAGGTATTAACATAAAGCATTGAATCTGATATTATAACAAAAGGTCCCGTTTTTTTGGTCATTGAGTATTTGTTTTGTTTTAGAAGTAGTAATCCTTTGATGTAATTTCCTAATATAAAGCAATAAGACAGTGGAGTCGGTACAAAGTATTGGACATTATGCTCTTCTAACCTTGTTTTGTGCCTTTTTAAAAAAAGTTTTTCAACTTTTATTGGCTAGAATTTTCACATCTTTAAACAATAATACCTTAGCTTCTTCTTCCCAAAAACAATTAAATTATCCTTATGTACCCAACTTCATCGAACCAAGGCCGAAAATTGAGAATATGATTTGTTTGCTCAAAAGTTATCACATACCTTATGAGTATAAAACAATATAAATGAATCACGGGAAAATCATAGCAAATCGTAATAATCCATTGGACCAAGTGAAGAACATGAAAATAAGTACTCAAGGTTAGGAGAAAAAATCTTAACAGCTTTTATTGACAATATTGGTTTGGTCTGCCTCTCCATGAAGAGGTTCAGAGCCTTACAATGGTGTTTTCTCTTCCCATAAGATGGGTAGATTTTTCTCTTCTCTCTCTCTTTTGTGAATAGTGGTGAAGAAACAGCCCCCTTCTAGGGCTTCCACTCTTGGTATTTATAGATGTGAGCTTCGTGAGCTGGCAATAAATGGCCGTGGCCACGCTGAGGTTCCATCCCCATGGGGGAATGACTGGGCCGTGCCCTCGTAGATTAAATCGGACAAGAGTCGAATCCTGTTATGAATAAGTGGCCATACCACTTATTAATTATGGATTAGCTCAAGACGAGATTAACTCCGTTGATTACCGTGAGATCGGATTCTGACCCATACAGTTAGTCCCTCCGCTTATTGAGGTCGTGTTTTGGCCGAGCTCGATGAGCGGACTTCATCGATTGTGATTTTGAAAAAAAAAAACTCGAATAAGGGGGTCGACTTGTTGACGGCGGTGGCCTTAGCCGTTTACACGTTAGAGATGGCCGTAGCCTTTCATATATTGGAGAGCCTTTCATACATTAGAGATGGCCGTAGCCTTTCATATATTGGGGATGGCCGTAGCCTTTCATATATTGGAGAGCCTTTCATACATTAGAGATGGCCGTAGCCTTTCATATATTAGGGATGGCCGTAGCCTTTCATATATTGGAGATGGCCGTAGCCTTTCATATATTGGAGATGGCCATAGCCTTTCATATATTAGAGACGGCCGTAGCCTTTCATATATTGGGGATGGTCGTAGCCTTTCATAGATGGCCGTGGAGAATGAATATGCGCCGGGTACGTATTTGGTCACGTCCAGGAATTTGAAGGCGTACGGCGCATTCTTTCAGCGTTCGCAGTCCGTTGCGATTATTCTGACGGCGGGACGTTGGCGGATGGCTGAGAAGCCGCTTCGCGGAGCTTGTCATACTGACGCATGCTTCGGCAGAACCGGACCATTTTACGGTTGGTCGTGCAGTTAATGATGGCTATTGGGTTTCGCAAAAGCCATTTATGTTGCCTATAAAGGTGGGTTGAGGCATTCATTTCTCATATCTTCATTGTTCATCTGAGAGAGATTCTGAGGAAACTTTTTCGTTCTGCTAATTCGTCTTCTCCTTTCTTTCCTTTAATTGTGATAACCTTTGTCTTGCCCACCGAATTCTATCCCTTTCTCTTTAGTAGATCAACAATGGCAGGCAGTTCTTCCCACAATGCTCTTCCGATAGATTTTCCGGTAGTTGAAGGGCCACCTCCGGCAATGGGAGGTGCAGAACAGATAGAGACCGGAGAAGTTCCGTCGGTTGACGAGGTAGTTCCTCGGCCCGGAGGTCTGGCGATTGATTTCACTGTCGACGGTGGAGAGGAGGTGGCGTGAACAAAAGAAAGCGGCCACTTTCACCAAAATGCCGAAGAAGTATAAAGAGGTTCGTGCCAAGCATCAGGCGTTGGCAGACATGCTCAAGCAGGACCCCCAGTTCCGGACGTTCCGTGAGGGCCTTGAGGAATCAGAGGCTCTTTTGAAGAAGAGAACGGCTGAGCTGAAGGAGATTGATGAGCAGCTGATGGCTGCTTTGGCTCGAAATATCGAGCTGGAAACCCTCCTTCAGTCAAAAGAGGAGGACTTGGAGATAAGCCGTGGGGTGGCGGCGGAGGCTGCGGAACTGCGGGCCCAGGTCACGGCCCTTACAGCTGAGCTTGATGCTAGGACGGCCGAAGTTGAGGTTCTCAGGCGAACTGCCCCACAGGATGCCGTGCATCGTGAGGCGAACGAGATGTGGGTGTATCATGACGCCAGGTTGGTCGTTTTTGAGGAGTTTTTGGCGGCAGGTCGAGCTTCCGAGGCGGAAGTTGAAAGGCAACGGCACTTGACCCGTGTTACCCGTGAAGCGGCCGGTTATGGCTCCGACTCGCCTGGTAGGGAGGGCTGTAATTTTGAGGAAGTCAACCGTTTGGACTCCAGCTCGTGGATTTCCAAGGCTTAACAGTCTGGAGACGGCAACGGACCGGACGGCGACCCTGCGGGTTGTGACGGGAGGTGTGGTGAAGGCTCTTAGGGCTTGTATGTATATATATTTCTTGTGTAGATGGGGCCTTTTCTAAGGCCAGTTATATGTATATCTTTTGGAGATAAATGAAATATGACCTCTGTTTCCCCTTTTTTTTTTTGTGTCACTGTTTCTCTTTCGTTCTTTAGAGCTTTTGTTGCACTTTTTGTTGACCGTCGGCGTTGGCGGCCCTAGTCGAATTTAGATCGACGACTTTAGTTGTGATGGAATCGACGGCCTTAGCCATAAAGGCAACTTCGACTGTCGTCGAGTCGTTTACCCACCGCAGTCGAATCTAGGTCGACCGTTGGCGGCGACAGCCTTAGCCATAATATAGTTGATGGCCTTTGCCATGTAGGCGACTTCGACTGTCGTCGAGTCGTTTACTCACCGTAGTCGAATCTAGGTCGACCGTTGGCGGCGATTGCCTTAGCCATAATATAATTGATGGCCTTAGCCATGTAGGCGACTTCGACTGTCGTCGAGTCGTTTACTCACCGTAGTCAAATCTAGGTCGACCGTTGGCGGCGATGGCCTTAGCCATGATACAATTGATGGCCTTAGCCATGTGGGCGACTTCGACTGTCGTCGAGTCTTTTTGCTCACCGTAGTCGAATCTAGGTCGACCGTTGGCGGCGATGGCCTTAGCCATAATATAATTGATGGCCTTAGCCATGTAGGCGACTTCGACTGTCGTCGAGTCGTTTACTCACCGTAGTCGAATCTAGGTCGACCGTTGGCGGCGATGGCCTTAGCCATAATATAGTTGATGGCCTTAGCCATGTAGGCGACTTCGACTGTCGTCGAGTCGTTTACTCACCGTAGTCGAATCTAGGTCGACCGTTGGCGGCGATGGCCTTAGCCATAATATAATTGATGGCCTTAGCCATGTAGGCGACTTCGACTGTCGTCGAGTCGTTTACTCACCGTAGTCGAATCTAGGTCGACCGTTGGCGGCGATGGCCTTTGCCATAATATAATTGATGGCCTTAGCCATGTGGGCGACTTCGACTGTCGTCGAGTCGTTTACTCACCGTAGTCGAATCTAGGTCGACCGTTGGCGGCGATGGCCTTAGCCATAATATAATTGATGGCCTTAGCCATGTAGGCGACTTCGACTGTCGTCGAGTCGTTTACTCACCGTAGTCGAATCTAGGTCGACCGTTGGCGGCGATGGCCTTAGCCATAATATAATTGATGGCCTTAGCCATGTGGGCGACTTCGACTGTCGTCGAGTCGTTTACTTGCCGTAGTCGAATCTAGGTCGACCGTTGGCGGCGATGGCCTTAGCCATGATACAATTGACGGCCTTAGCCATAAAGGCAACTTCGACTGTCGTCGAGTCGTTTACCCACCGCAGTCGAATCTAGGTCGACCGTTAGCGGCAATGGCCTTAGCCATAATATAGTTGATGGCCTTTGCCATGTAGGCGACTTCGACTGTCGTCGAGTCGTTTACTCACCGTAGTCCAATCTAGGTCGACCGTTGGNCGAGCAGGCCGCAGCGGATATGACCCTACTATGTGCGGCCGCTGATTGTGAAACGTTACAAGGGGTTAGCGACGAGGAACTATCCCGGAGGGTTGCCGGTGCGGCCTTACAGGTACTTTTCGATTCTCTTCATGTATCGTAAAATAAATTTTGATACATGCTGACTTGCCCTTCATCCTATTCCTCTCTCTTTTTCTTAGACTCTCATTTTGGAGATAGAGAGGGGGCGGCG